GAATTGTTTCTTAGGAGTTTCCGGTTCGTCAAATGTTTATAGTGGTTAATTTTTAGCATACATCTGTAATTTTAAATTCTATGCGAATATTTTTTAACAAAGAACACTATCCCCTACGTCGTAACTTTCGAAATAACTTAATCTATTAGACTTTAGTATTGTTATTTTAGTACTAGTTTTAATTCTTGAGTTTGAAAATATTGATGCTTCACCTGCATTTGTTTTATATTTGTGATGTGTTCCGACTCTCAGATGTATTTGTTTGAGGCAAGATGGAATATACACTTACTTATATGAAAACTATATATTTTACCAATGATTTTTTCAATTTGATCATCTAGTGTTGGTTGGGATAGAGAGAGGAGGTTTTAAGTTTAAAAAGGCGGACAGCTAATTATAGACCTAAAATGCAGTGCATGTCATATTTTTTAACTTCGCAACTTCCATAAATCTTACATTCTCAGAATGACAAAAATACGTCGACTAAAATTTTTTTTCTACCGGACTAACAACAAAACAATGCTTCCTGCAATCATTTTAGGTGTTGTTGCTAAAAATGCTGCGATGGTTTTAAAAGATGTTTTTCGGGGCCAAACCGGACCACTTGATGTTATCGAGAAATAATAAAATAGAAAATAAGGTATAAACATTCCTTGAAAAAATACTGTATTATCCTGACTAATTACGGCCTTTTATGCGTATTTAAGTCAAATTTTAGAAAAATTAAAACCAATGTCGGCGTTTTTATATTATCAAAGCGTTACCATTTTCGAATTGAAAATTTTTGTAAGAATTTAATTATACTTCATTCTTATTTCCAAATTAAAATGATTTCACAGTTTTTAGTATTGCCCTTTTTTCTTATATTAGCTCCTAAGTTAAATTCATAAAAAATTAAATTTCGGAAGCGAAACACGTAAATATTTAAGGATCGTTCTTCTTAATTCAATAATAAAATCGACGGCTTAGAGGGAGACCTTTGCTAAGGGAGGGATTGAGGTTTCATGGTAAAAATTACTTTTTTCGCGAATATATATCTTAAATATGCATTGAGTAATTTTATTCGAACCTTTTATGCATTATTGAAAACACTTTTGACAATACGACTTTTCGTAATAAGACAAGATGTATTACACACGTAATTTTGTCAACTTGTTTTCCAATCATTTGTTATTTGGAGTGTTATATCCGTAAACGTCATATGCGTTCTGTCTTATACATAGTACATATTCCGATTGATCCCGCTTTATCGTCCCACAGATTTTTCGGTTTTGGGCGTATACCTGAAACGGATTTTTTTTTTATTAGCCAAAAGATTATGTATGACCATTATTTTCACCCCTTGGTCTTTGCCGAAACGATGGAAAATCGGATCAGATTAAAGAGGTGATTTCTGGGATATTTTCCAGCTGTTTAAATAAAATTTTTACTTTTAAAATTGAGTACGTATTCGCCCCTTGAACAAGCACTGGTTTCATTAGAATTTTCAAATTTAGACAATTAGATCATCCTTTAAATATTCTAGTAATTTAGTATTTATGAATTTTTGATAATAACTGGCCAATGTATAATATCGCTAATTGATTTTATAACGTCTTATCAACAAATACCAGAATACATGAATAAACTTATATAATATGTATGTGGAAGTTAATACATTTCACCGTTTAATGGTTGTACTAAGTTAATTATGTGAAATATTTTTATTTATTAGTTATATTTTGAATGTATATATGATAGTTTTTTGACCTAATGCATTAAAAAGAATTGTAAATATTATATTTAAGAGCGTTTAAGATGATGCAAAATTTACTTAATAAAGAAAGAAATGAAACAATTACATAGTTATCAGTAAAAGCACAAAAAAAAATATAATTTAATTTAATTAATTCATGTACACGTTAAATATACTTTGGTAACACTTTTATAGTCGAATTCTAAAATGTAATTTTTACCAAATGCTGATTACTAGATATCTCAAAGTAATGCCCTTAATATATTGGGTCGTTTACTAAGTAATTTAGTTTTTGTTTTGTGCAATTCGTACACGATTTTTTTTTATTGGGTAAAATATTTTATGAAATTATTTCAAGTTTACCCTTTTGACGATAAATAATAAAATATCCATCTTCCATAGGGCAGCAAACACTATTCCAAACAACTTAAGAAATCTTTTCACAAACAAGCTTTGTTCTTGATTAAAGATATGATGGCAAAAAGTGCTAGAAATTCAGGAAAATGTTGTAGCAAAATGATTGCAAAGAGATGTAGCCCCCCTTCAACCCTTATGAAAAAACTGTAACATTATAAAAAATTTGGTAGTGGCACTGAGTGAAATGGGATATAATTTTTAATATCTCAATCAACATGTTGTTCGCCTCCTTTTGCCTTAATCACCACCATAATTTTTGCTGGCACTGATGTTTTAAGCTTTTGCAGTAGGACGATCTCTAGATAGAATTCGGTTAATTGGTTTCTTAATTGCCAACAGGTTTGTAGGCGTTTCGTTGTTTGTAGGCATTTTCCGCTGAACCGTCCGCCTGACCTCCTTACATGGTAGACATCATCTGATCCAAAAACATTAATTTAAATATTAATTAATATTATTGTCTGCCACTGATCCTCCAACCAACTTTCAAGCTCTTTCGGCCATACACACAGCTGTTTCCTCATTCGTTGGCCCCAAAATTTCTTTTTTTACAGGACGCCGGCATTTGAATATTGCCTCTTTGAGTATCTGGCGAATCGTTGACACATCCATTATCACTTCTGACGCATCACTAAGATTATTTTTATTATATTATATTTAATATCTGAAGATGATTTAAAGCGATCCAGTAGACAAAACCGACGGATGAGCCTGTCTTGGGAAATTGTGGTATTGTAATTTTGTTTGTAGTATTATTTTGAATCCTTCCACACAATTTTTTTCGGGAACAAGATTTGTCTCTAAATTTTTTTAATCCGCTACATTAGCCTGCCTGTATTCCATAATGGTCGCTTGTACTGCGTTAAGGCCTTATTTGGCCTCTGGAGCAATCAGTAATTTGTCGTCGTCTTGGATGCAAATCAATTACGTGCCAATCCAACTAGGAATAGCGAACTGACTTGAACTTATGGTACTTGACCAAATATTATTATCGATTTACTTATTCCCCAAAAGGTATACCCATTTATGGCATAATTTCTTTAAATTATTAGCTTCCTAAGTGTGAATTTAGGAAAATAGAATGAGCCTGTAATCTTCACATCTCACTCAAACTTCAAAAACATAAGAAACAAGTAAAGAAGGGCTAAGTTCGGATGCAATCGAACATTTTATGTTCTTGCAACCTGCAAAAATCAATGCTCGAGAAATACCTTAAGGTGTAAACCGTCAACCAGAAGACCGGAATCTAAGCAATTTTATATATACATATACTATACATAACCAGTGGCAGATTCAGAGGCGGAAATGGGGGAATAATTACTCATCAACGCCCACCCAACTCCAAGAACCAATCCATCCAAACTGTTATGAGTAAAATACGTTCTKYAATTTTCATTTGGAGGCTCAGGAAAGTATTGATCCGATTCAACCCATTTTTGATACTCAAAGTGACAATGATTAGGAAGGGATTGTCTCTGTATTTCAAGAGTCAACTGTTGATACTAGGGTCCAAATATTCGGAACCTTCTGGCTTGAACAATTGTGGTTAGATTTGGACATAAATGAATGAAAATTTATTGAAGATATCTCGTGAAATGATAAACTAGATTTCGATAGTTCAGTTTGTATGGCAGCTATATGCTATGGTGTTCCGACAAGGACAATTTGGACAAAAGAGCAATTTTTTGGCGAGTAAATAACGTGGACAAAGTTTTAGATCGATATGTAAGAAACTGAGGGAATAATTTTCGAATATATTTTACAGATGATGACAAACATGGCTAAATCGACTCAGTTAGTGCGCTGTTTCCTCCTGGGAGACTTCGTGGCAAACTTAAAATGCCCTGTTCAAGGTATAATAAATAGCAAAGAAGAGTAAAAGTCTATCCAAAGAAAATATTTATCGATTCAAATTGTGATAGACTTTTAAATGATTCTCATAGTGAATATTTCAATCCATATTAACATTATAAATATGAATATAACGCGAATGTTTACGCTTTCACCTTGAAACCGCTTAATGAATTTCATGAAAGTTTATACACACACGCACATTATTATGATAT